GAGCACGGCTCCCCATGGCCACATACTCCTGCAAAGCTTTTTTGCTGCTTGGCTTTTCTCTGAACAGATCTGAAATTGCTGCTCCTGTGGTTTTCTCAAAATTAACCTTGTCATGGTTTTAAAAAAAAGAAATCAAAATGCATTGTTGCATTAAGCTTTTTTAATAAAGGAAATTATGGAAAGAAAATAGGCAACACCAGCAAATTATATGTAGAGAATAAACTAAACTATATATATATAATATATATATATTATATATATAATCATCTAGTTCTCATTTTCATCTTACTGAAAGGAAATAAAACCTCTAAGGATCACCGTTTCTGAGAGGATCTTGGAAATCTTTATGTCTAAGTGATTGTATTAGATCAGCAATAATGACTATGTAATCTCAAAACATAAATAAAATATTCTTAAAATGGATTCTTATCTTGAGAGTATTGCTTGCTTCTGTGAACTAGGAATTCAAGAGATGAGTGACGTTTCTTGGCAACAGGCTGGAGAGCCTACTGCAGGGCAAAGATGTGAAAAGTTGAAGTGGTTAACAATAGCATATTTGAATGGCCTTAGCCTTGGGTCCCTTATTCCATGGTAGGCCATTCCACTAATATCTTTCCCCCAACCCACACCCTGCTATGTGTGTAAAGAACCTGCTTTCTCAGAACCATCACCCCCGGGAGTTGAAAAGTATAGAGAAACTAGAGTGTGGTTCTAGGTCCCCCAAGCCCTCTGTGTTCTGCCCTTAGCTGGACAACACAAGATGCCAGCACCCATGGTTTGGGATTAAAGGGTCCTGACACCCAGAAGTTGACTACATCCAACCAAAGGGAAGAAATAAATTACTCTGACAGAGATGTGTTTCCAGATCAGCTTTTGCCTGACTAAACCGGAAACTAAAGGGCGAATCCAACTTCCTCTTCTTCCTCAACTACCAGTAGAGTGGCCATTTTTGAGCCAGTTTTCTAATAGCCACCTCTCTTAGTTGACAAATTAAACTAGTTCTTCCTGTATGCAAGATGTTTTCTTCCCTCTTAGAATCTTCTGCTACTTTGACTTGTCTTTACCTAAACTAAGGGCTAAAACAGTTTGGGTAGTTGGTAATGGCTCAAAGCTGGTGCCACTCCAGTTGCGAAGGAGAATGCAGGGGCCAGCAATGAAACCTATGAGCCACTGGCAGGTTTCACCCCCCTACAGCAGGGCTTGGCTCCTCTTCTGTGAAAGATGGGAGCATGGGTGCCTGGGTCTTAGTTTCAGACTCACAGGGTAAGCCCTGACTATGCACTGCTGTGCAATTTCTCTAGCCTGTGGTCCTGTGGAAAGAGACTGGACCTCTTAAGTCAGGCTCACTTGACTAGCTCTTCCATTTACAAGTTGTATAATTTGACCAATATTATATAATGACTCAGAGCCTTGGTTTTCTTGCCTTTGAAATGGGTAATGCTTTGTCTCCTGGGGTAAGGACTTAAAGATCTGATTTAATTTTTAAAATGCTGCTTAAAAATCTGGCACACACTGTGCTACACAAACATCAGTTTCTTATCTCAGTCTAAGGGTCCTAAATCCCCTGTTGCCTCATTACACCTACATGTGCAGCATTGATGGGAGAGGAAGATATTCTGTCTTTTTTCTACCGCATCATTCCGGCTGCCCAATGCCCTAAAAAATTAGATACTGTAAGACTTTCTGCACCTTATGTTTTTTGAAGTGTTTGTTTATTTTTGAGAGAGAGACAGAGCGTGAGCAGGGGGAGGGCCAGAGAGAGAGGGACACAGAATCCAAAGCAGGCTCCAGGCTCTGAGCTGTTAGCACAGAGCCAGACACAGGGCTCGAACCCACGAACCATGGGATTGTGACCGGAGCCGAAGTCGGATGCTTAACTGACTGAGCCACCCAGGCACCCCTCTACATCTTATTTTTAAGTTCTATAACAGGTGCTGTCTATTTAGTCAAGTATCTGACCTCCATGCTTACATGGGGAAAGGAATATGTTCAGTCCTTGTAATTATACCTATTTATACCTCTGCCAGGAGCCCCCAAATGCCTGAGTTTTGGGACAAGGAAAAGTGATAGTGTTGATTTAAAAATAATTCAGCACGGGAGCCATCTCTGCAAGATAGAAAAACTTGTAGACCAGCCCCCGACTGATTAGCCCTCATGTGTATGTATGGATGCCTCCGTGGTCAATGGTATTGATGGCTAGCACATCTTTGCTGACAAATAAGCTAAAAGAAGTTCAGTGTGTACCAAGTCCATGGCCTATAATTTCAAAGTTTTCAGTTCATCCATGGTTTCTTGTCGACTTCCTCCAGGAGTTGTTTCCAGATACCTTCTTCCTTATGACCAGTTCTGAAAGTGGGACTATAATGAGCAGACAGATGTCCGATCTTCACTGTCTCCCATTCCACAGGGTGTAGAGAAGATAATGGATTGAGGTCTCTTGTGTTGATCCTTTGCAATCTCCATAACACCCGTTTTTCAAACCCCTTCTCTGAAAGTGAAGCCAGATGGAGCTCTAGGCTTAGCAATTAGCTTTGCATAGAGGCCAGAGAGGACTTGAGAGATACCCCCAGTCCTCCCCATTGAAGCCAGCTTGAGGCTTTGTTCTTTCGCCCAAGGTATACACTGGAAAAGGAAGAAAGCCTCAAAACTGGCCACCACTGACTGTTTGGGGATCCTGATGATTGACTAAGCTCACAAAAGAAACGATGAAGCTCTGGGCCTATCAATCCTAGAACTCTGACTGCTTAGGAGGACAGGAATTGGGAGTAGGAAGATAGAATAATTCTTTTATTAAGAAACGCTAATGGGTTGTGCAGTGGCGGGTTTACCACACTGCAGCAGTGATGAGCTAGGCGTGGGTTGTGAATTTTAAAGCAGAGTGTGACTCTTTTAGAGTTTAACAAATTATACCCAAAAAGAAAATTCCAAAATCAAATAGTTGAGGCCTCGAGCCATGAACTTTCTTGGAAATTCGGGTCATTTCAATTCTGTTAAGCCAGTAGGTCTCAACTGCAGAAGATATTGCCCCTCAGGAAACATTTTTGCCATATCTGGAGACACTTTTGGTTGTCACAACTTGGGGGAGGGTACTACAGGCATCTACTATGGAGAGGCCAGGGATTCTGCTAAACATCCTACAATGCATGGAACAGCTCCCCACCACAAGTTTTTCAGTCCCTATTACAGAAATCTTGTGTTAAACGTACATATATGAGGTATACAAAATGAACAAAACTTGGCCCTACTCTCAAGAAACTTCTATCCACGTTGGTGGGAATGGGAGAGGAAAGGGAAGTACAGTACATGAGTACGGTAAGGAGATGTTGGGGACAGAAGAGAAAGTAACTGAGAAAGCTCCAAGGAGTTCTCGCTCTCAACTCTGCCTTCATCCATCACCTACCGACTAGTAGAGTAAATTCTGAGGGAGACATACGGTTAAGAAAGGGACAGAGCTGTCCATAAGACACAGGAAGGGGGAGCAGTCATTCCTTTGAGCCTCTTACTTTGGGGAGACAGTAGAAAATATAAGAGGGGCTCCTGGGTGGCTCAGTTGGCTAAGCATTCGACTTCGGCTCAGGTCATGACTTCACAGTTTGTGAGTTCGAACCCCGCCCTCCGGCTCTGTGTTGACAGCTCAGAGCCTGGAGCCTGTTTCAGATTCTGTGTCTCCCTCTCCCTCTGCTCCTCCCCCCACTCGCACTCTGTCTCTCTCTCAAAATAAAATAAAGACATAAAATTTTTTTAAAAAGAAAGAAAATAGAAGAGTTTTGAATCCAAGCAGACTTGGCATGACACACACCCAGCCGGAGCGGGTTGAGAACGGTCAAAAGGATGGCTCTCTGGAAGAGCAGGTAATAATGAAATAGAATCTTTATGGAACAATAGAAGCTAGCCAAGAAGAAGAGCGAAAGTTTTTTCCAGAAAGAACAGCAAATACACTTAGACACGATGGAACACCTTGGGAACTGCGAGGAGTAATCTGAGTCCTGGTTTTCTCAACAGTAATACAGGATTAGTGGAAACAACCTGTCAGAAGTAGCATAAGATATCTGGAAAGTTTCAAGTGCAAGGCCTAGAACAAAGTGGCAGTTCAACAATTCCCTCAATCCCATCCTTTTGATCCCACCCATTCCCCTCAGGCTGCTTTTTGGGGACTATTTACTGTCAACGGCGTTTTAGATAAATTGGCTGACCAGAGAGCTTCCTTTGTATCAAGCCCTCAGGAGGGATCTTAGAGGAAGGAAGGAAAGTGGTAGGGAGCATACGGGGGTTTGCTCTCCATTCAACGTTTCTCCCTAGCTCACACTTGAGGAAGGTGCCCTACTTCACAAGAGAAAGGCAGATGACCAGAAGCAGCCCTGAAGGGCACCAGCGATTTCACTGAAGTGAAAATGCCCCATCCCACCCCTCAACCCACCATCTCCCAGTCGAGCCCTCACTCCAGGCGGGATAAGTTCTCGAGAAATCTGAGAGGGCGAAATCTCTCGTTGCCTTCGGTGTGCCTGACCACCCGGCGGTGCCATGCCTCCCCTGCGATTGAATCGGGACTAGGGGCGTCATGCGGGAGCTAGGATAGGACATCTGTGGTAATGGGGAAACCGAGACTGCAGTGGAGCAGGAGGCGGAGACTAGAGCTCCCCGAAAAGGTCGCTATTTGGGAGCGGGTGAGTGCTGAGCGAGAAGCAAAAAGATAACCCGCCAAACTTCTAGGCCCAGAATTCGGGAAGTAATGCCGACAGCCTACCCCCGAGCTTAATGCTACCAGCAACGCGGCAGGATTTAAAAAAAATAGGAGGGGGGACGTCCCGTAAATGAGCCCCCCCTCCTCCGAGTCCCGCTCGGAACGGCCGAACAGCCAATCGCGATGCGGGGCGGGGCTGCGGAGCGCGGCCGCAGCCAATAGTTGTGGAGAGGGCGGAGCCTGGATCCCAGCGCGCGGCGGCGGGGTCGCTCCGGGCAGAGATCGCGGAGGGGCTGAGGTAGCCGCTGAGTAGGGTGGCATGGAGGACCCCGCGGCGCCCGGGGCCGGAAGCGCGTCCACCAATGGCAACGGCAACGGCGGCGGCAAAGGGAAGCAGACGGCACCCAAGGGCCGGGAAGCGTTCAGAAGCCAGCGGCGGGAGTCGGAGGTGAGAAGCCGGGAGAGCTTCAGTTGGGGCCGGGAGACGCCCGCGGGCGGGAAGCCGTGGCTGAGGTGATTCGGCCCGGTCCCCCTGCCCTTCCGGAGCCCCCGGAGCGTTCGGGGCCGCCCCTCGGAGCGGGCGTCTGCGGGGTCTGCCGCAGCCTGAGCTCTGCAGCCCCTGACCCCTCTCTGCCTGTCTCCTGGTCGGGGGCTTCTTAGCCTTCTGGCCTTTCCTCCGGGGACGCGAAGATGTAGCGCGATCGAGACCATACCTGATACTTTTCAAATATTCTCTGCAGCCCCTTGAAGTGGGGATTCGTGTTTTAGATTTACGGGAAGAAACGGGCGCGGAGAGGTTCAGCGACTGGCCTGAAGGGGTGAGGGGCCAGAGCTCCGCCGCAGTGGAGACGGGCCGGCGTGGGGAGCAGCCGCGCTCCCACCCCTGGGCCAGCGAGCAGATCCAGATGTGCCGAGTGACTTCTGCGCGGCCCCTTCCCCCGTGTGTTGGCAGGCGGTTTAGGGAGTGCCTTCCACGGACATCAGGACCCCTACCCGTAAGGGTCAACGAGAGGCTTCAGGCCGGGGCTGTACCGGAGGGAGTGGATGGAACTGCTCAGGATACAAACCCACAGATAGGAATATGAATGTTTGGGCTACCTCCTCGTCTTCTGAAAAGGAATCCTAACTGGGAGGATGAAAGGAGTGAATTATTAGTCTCCGACTGCCTCATGCAGCCAGTGTCCATTAACTAGCCAAGAGTAGAATTGGATCTGAGTGGGGATCAGGAGGATAGACCCCAAAACGTCAGGTGTGAAAGGGACTGTAGAGATCATCTGCTTTAGCCCTTTCTCTTCCAGAAGTAAGAGAAGTCACTTGCCCAAGATCACGCATCTGGCATAGTGGCCAGGAGCACCGAGCTTTGGGGTCATCCAGACCAGGTTTTGAATCCTAGCCCTATCACTTACTCTCTGTGTGACTTTTGGCAAATTGCCAAGCCTCTCTGAGCTCCAGTTCCTTCTTCTGTAAATGAGGTTAATGCTACCTACCTCAGAAGGTTGAGATAAAGTCAAATGAGATAATTGAATGTCAGATGTTTAATTCAGTGCAGGCACAGGCCATGTAATTGGTCAGTACATAGTAGCTCATAGGGCCAGACCTGGTACTAGAAGCCAGGTCTTTCTTGTCCCAGTCGGTTTACCATTTGAATAGTACCTCGCAGCTTCCAGAGGGATTTCATGTAGGTTTTTCGTTTTGATACAGAAAGGTAGGAATCCCTCCCATTTTTTAAAAGAGAGAAGTGGAGATGAAAAGACTAGTCCAAAATCACACCCCCTTTCAGAGACAGAGCTCAGCTCTGCTGTCTGGCTAGATGAGGGTTCTGTCCACATCATCTCCCTCCCTGCCTCACTATGAATCTGGCCTTTTAGAACACCCTGTACCTCCTTCCCCCAAGGCGACATTGTTTTTGCTTAAATTTTTTTTTTTTTGAGGGGGGAGAAGAGGGTGGGCCATTCATTATTTCAAAAATTATTGAGTCCTTTCTACATGCCCAGCACTGTTTAGGTGCTAGGGATACAATAGTGAACAAGACAAGGTCTTTTTCTGTGGCGCAAACATTCTAGCCAGGGTGGAGAGACAATATGCAAGTAAATAAAATAATCAGTTTCAGAATGATATGTTCTTTGGGAGAATTAAAACTCCTGACGTAGGAGGGCTTTTCCCTGCCTATCAAGTCTCCCATCAGGGAAAGGACTCTGATAGTACTTTCCTTTTGCCACTGAGTCCAGTATCCAGAGACTCAGAGCTTTCCACCTGCCCCACAGTTTAACCTCCTGGTTGTCTGCAGCTGTACTTTTTATGCACGGAAACGGACAACTGCAGTGATCCTCTCCATCTGGGCTCATTGCCTGCCAAAAGGCTGGCTGGAAAGATTAGCTTTCCTCCACCTTCCACTGCAGCAGGAAAGCTGCTTTTTACCTGTCAGTGCATTCCCAGACTCAGATGACTATCTGCCTTTCCTTCCTTCCCTCCTTTTGCTTTCCTGTGAGAGACAGTCCTCGGGGGGAGATGGTTTATCCGCCCCCCCACCCCAAACCACCACCTTGGGCTTCTAAAGGATTACTGGAAGAGAATTACTGTTGGCACAATTCAAGAGAGCCTCCTCATCCATCACTGTGCCTGTAGGGGACACTGGTTGACCTACCCTCTCCCAATGGTCCCAACGAAAATAGGAAGCTAGAGAATAATTGTTTGCTTAATAAGAAGATTCTTCGGGTGCCTGGGTGGCTCAGTCAGTTAAGCGTCTGACTCTTGATATCCACTCATGTCATGATCTCATGGTTTGAGAGATTGAACCCAGCCTCTACACTGACAGAAAGGAGCCTGCTTGGGATTCTGTCCCTCTCTCTGCCCCTCTCCCTCTCTCTCTGTCCCTCCCCACCTGTGCCCAAGCTTTCTCTCAAAATAAATAAGTAAATAAATAAACATTTTTAAAAATTTAAAAGAAAAAGAAAGCTCTTAACCAAATGAGTCACCTCAGGCCTCTTTCAGCCAGATTCCCTGGTTTAATTGGTTCCCAAATTCCTTGACAAAATTTTACTGGTTTGTGGCAAGAGGAGGAAAATTCAGGGCATTGAAGTAAGTTTTTCACAAAATGTAGTTCAGTGCAATAAATTTAAAGAGTGTGTTCAATTTGGGGCATCTGGCAAACTCTGTTGGTAGAACATGCAAATCTTGATCTCAGAGTCATGAGTTTAAGCCACATGTTGGGTGAAGAGCTTACTAAATAAATAAATAAAATAAGGATGTATGTGATTTATGTATTTATTTAGACTAAACTTTTTACTTTGGAGGGATTTTAGGTTTATAGAAAAGTTGCAGAGGTGGTATAGAGGGTTCCTGTACCCCTCGCTCAGTTTCCCCTGATGCCAGCCTTTCAGGTTTCCACAGTGCCTTAGCCAAACCATGGAAGCAGCATTGGTCCATTGACTCATGCAAGGCTCTGTTCCTTGGAGTTCTTCTCAGGCCTGGTCTGGCCTGGCCAGCCCCCACCTCACCCATAGCAGTTCTTCTGAACCTCCTCTGGGCTATGAGAATTTCTCAGTGAACCTCATCCAGAGTCTGTCTGACGTAAGGCAAGGTTTTGGGCTTTCAGGTGGAAGACCAGAGTGGTGACTGCCCTTCTTATCACATCATAGCAGGGGACATGCAACATCTTGTCATTGGGATGCTGGCCCTGGGCCCCACCGCAGGATGTATGCAATTTAAAACAGTATTTTTCGGGGCGCCTGGGTGGCGCAGTCGGTTAAGCGTCCGACTTCAACCAGGTCACGATCTCGCGGTCCGTGAGTTCGAGCCCCGCGTCAGGCTCTGGGCTGATGGCTCAGAGCCTGGAGCCTGTTTCCGATTCTGTGTCTCCCTCTCTCTCTGCCCCTCCCCCGTTCATGCTCTGTCTCTCTCTGTCCCAAAAATAAATAAACGTTGAAAAAAATAAGTAAATAAATAAATAAAACAGTATTTTTCAAACTGTGAGTTGAGACCAACATTTTTTAAAAGAAATAGAATAATAAAATCTAAATCACATAGTAATGGTATTATTTTTAAAAATTTTTGTTCTGGTTTTGTGCGTAAAATTTATTCTTTGATTTACAAGCAAAAAACTTTGAAAAGCATTACTTTTAATAACTCTTTTATTCTAAAATTGTGTCCTCATTTTGGGATATTAAACTGTTCTTTTTTGAAATATATATTTTAAAAAGGTTTTTAAGTCTCTGTTAATCAGAATAAAACCTCAACTACCTAATGTCATTCCCACCCTCCACCTTTTTTTTTTTCTGACTGGTTTCTGTAACCCAGAAGTATTTGGAAATATTTGCAAGAATGGATTTAAACATGATTTGCATTGTTGGCAGTGTAAATTGATAAAGTGGTTTTGGAAAACAAAAAACGAATCTATCCTTAGGAAAGATCCTAAATATGAAAAAATTTATAGGTGTATTACAACTTTATGTTTATAGTAAAGAAAAATTAAAAACAACTTATATGATCAACAATAGAGAACTGGTTGGGGCGCCTGGGTGGCTCAGTCGGTTGAGCCTCCAACTTCGGCTCAGGTCATGATCTCATGGTCTGTGAGTTTGAGCCCCATGTCGGGCTCTGTGGTAACAGCTCAGAGCCTGGAGCCTGCTTCGGATTCTGTGTCTCCCTCTCTCTGACCCTCCCCTGTTCTTGCTCTGTCTCTGTCTCAAAAATAAATGAACATTA